GTGACTGGAAAAGGAACGGGTAAAGGAAAGGAGGTTAACAGAAAGTTAAAGGTGTGTTTGGATCCAAATAAGAGGCAAGGACAGAGATTACTGAAGGGCAAATGGTGAGATATACACAACTGTTACACTACTTACAGAATGTATAACAACCAATTATAATGTATATGTTTATGTATTATGTTGTGAGACTTAAATTCTGTGCCATTCCTAGGAGGCAAAACAAAAAGCAAAGGAACAGAGGAAGAAAAGAGAAGATTAAGAAGTCTGACAACAAGGATGATTATTGAAGTTACTCTATCTGTTATAATGCACAAGATTAAAAAAAGTAATTTAGCCATAAATGTATTCTTTGTGATTCTTTGTGATTTCTCTGATGAAACTATAACTAATACGCTCTTGTTTTAATTTATGCCAGTGAATGTTTTGTTCTATCAGGAATGATGAGCACATTGATATCGTTTTGAGCTGAACACACTTTTGAACTTTTACTAAATAATTTTTATACAAACCTTTCTAATCCAGAGGAAATCTGTGTGTGATGTAGCCATGAAATAAAAATAATAGCCTACATGCTAATTTGGTGTTTTGTTTACTGAAGAATAGTAGTATGAAGCAATAAATATGTTTTGATTACACAAGGATGAATTACAACGGACCTTGTCTGTTCAGTCTCCCAATAACTACTATAACAAAACATTTTTTGCTTTACAATTTAAAGTCCTCTCATTTCGCAGTCTATAGTCTATGCTATCTACTGATAAAGATTTCAATTAACTGAAAAATTAATTGCAAAAATACAGTTTTTGTCATGCTCATACTCATAGAATGAAGAAATTGCATGTGAATTGCCTTTGCTGAGTAGTACCGGTACATTCAACAGCTGAACTTTTCCGGCAGAATATTCAGCTTCTGCGGAAAATACCTTCTTATCCTCATCCTTCTTAGAAATTCATATCCTGCCATTCACACGATGTGTGCATTTATGAGAAAAGACCATAGTAATCAGAAAGTGAAAGCACAGAAGGCCACTGTAACTGTCGTGTAACACAGTATGCAATTTTAGACTTAGAGAAAAGCAGTTGAAACCAAACCGATGGCACACGTTTATATCAGATGCTACCTGCAACACAATCAGGTTGCACAGGTAGTCAAGTTCCTCCAGGATGGCACATCCATACGTGTCATATGTGAGGGGAGGGCGGGGGTGCGTTCAGAGGTGTACGAAGAACCAGAGATGGACCAGAAACTGGAGGAGAAGGGAGAGGGGAACAATGAAGAGATGGAGTTATGTCTCCAAGGCAGGCAGTGGCTCTGGCTCTCTGTCTGCGGTGGGTTCAGGTTCAGGTGTGGTGAGGGGCTGGATGGGCTCTGGGTCAGTGGCCTGCATGGGCGTAGGTTCCAGGTTTGTTATAAAGTCTCTTTCATCCATTGTGAAGGGGGACCCATACTGCAGCAACACCTAGTCCACATACTCACAAAAATTCCATTGAGAACCATCCCCAGATAGCTTAGCAGAGGCAGTTTGTGGGTTTGTGGTCAACACATTCTCACTACCAACTCGTCGTATACTGACACTTGATCAGGAACCTCTGGCATCAAACACAAACGTGATGGGCATGGGAATATCACCATAATGACATTACATATTGGAGTATTATTAAATACCTGTAAATAAATATTTATACAATATATACCTGTGATTTTGTGGGTAGGTTTAGGGTATGAGTGGGGTTAGGTGCTCCAATATCTATGGAAGTATGAATATTTACACACTTTACATTTTTTATACTTTTATACTAATGTATACTTTTACATATCCAAAGAATAATGCGTCATGATCTGACACATAAGGCAAACAACTGAAATCAATTAAGTACCCTGTACGTCGAAAAATAACGTCAAAGCGTTAAATAGTGACGCTGAGGGATCCTGACCAAGTGTCAATATATGACGAGTTGGGAGTGAGAACACTCTGGGCTGGTCCTTGGGGGACTGATCATCTGTGTGATGAGCAGAAGTCTGACATCTACTAGATCCATATTTAACTTATTTTAGGCAAAGAGGACAAAATTGCAGCACTACTTTAATAAACAAAACAAAATGATAATCCAAACAGGATATATTTCACAGAAGGCAAACACTCATAACATTAGTGCTGAACATAAACAATAACTAATGAACAAAACAAGAAATAAGTGATTTTATATATTTATATATATATATATATATATATATATATATATATATGTATGTATATAGTATTTATAAAGACAATAATACACAATCTGAGCTTATCAAAAGCCACTTTGTTTCTTATTACAATTATTATATTTCTCATATTATTTTACTTATTATATATTATTCTCTTATATAATTTTACATTTTCTATCTGATATGACATAAATGTAATATTGTATACCTGTATGTGTGACAGAAACCTCATAACACAGAACTTAAAACCCAAATAATATGATGAAAACTTCACTATTGTTACTGTTTATTTCCCAGAAACTGGGTAAGATATAGAAAGAGTAACTGGAACTAGAACTAGAGCATCAAACAGGGAAATCCCAGAATGTCTCTGTGATGTGTATAAAAAGATGCCAGTCAGCTCATTTACTCACATTTGGTCAGTCAAGTGGCTTAAGGTGAAGAGCATCAAGAGACTGAAAAATGAACACTGTGGCCACTCTACTTGTTTTTGTCAGTTTGTCCATTGTTGCTATTGAAGGTATTGTTTTGCTTTTTTTATATATTTCACTAACTCAGCACAATCTGTTGCTTTGTTGTTTCAGAATAATAATTTCCATCATTTATTTCTATCATCCTCCAGGGAAGCCCGGGATTGGAATCCAAAGATGTTTATGCCGTGGTGCTGGTCTCAAAATGGTGAAGCCAAAGCTGATAGACAAAGTTGAAATTCACCCTATTAGTCCAACCTGTGGACATTTGGAAGTCGTGTAAGTACATGATTATTTAGAACTGAATTTAAGACATTATCAATTTATATTCTCTTTAAATAACCTGATGATGTGTCTGAACAGTGTAACGCTGAAGAATGGTGTAGGACGAAGATGCTTAAACCCAGAGTCATTGTTTACCAAGACTATCATTGAGAGGATTGCAAAAAAGACCAGGTGAGTCTTATCAATGACATTACAAATGATATTGAAGACTTGAGCTTCATTCATATGTTAAAAATGAAGAAAGGATAATGGAGTCATTTTTATTTATGTTTATTCTTTTTAGGAGTGCTCAGTAACATGTGTGAAGTGGTTCAACTGTGATTTCAAGTGTTGTGGCCACTGTGGACCCTGTCATTAAAAAGCTTTATTGATACTTTTTCATGTATTACAATACAGTATTTTATATATTATATTTACACGTTATGAGTAATTTAATTTATTTATTAGTTGTATGTTCTTCTGTTTGTATCTGTTGTTTAATGTCAGTGGAAAGTATCAAATAAAACTTGTAAAGGTTTCATAATTTTTTGCGTTGATGGTCATTGTTATGGGTTCCTGAAGAAATATTACTTATGTTACATGCCTCAGTGTGTGCGAAAAGTAAACAGGAGATCAGGAAAGAACACATGGAGACACAAAGCCATTGTCTGGTCAGCAGCAGCCAATTCCTTTTTTTTTTCCTTCATATTATGTAGCACCTGGAAATACTTGGTTACTTCAAAGTGATTTACACATAACTGAAATAATCTTGAATTTAGCTTTATTTAGAAAAATGGTAAGAATATAAGTATGATAAAAAGTCATATTTATATAACATCACCCTAAAACCAAAGTTAACACAACAAAACACAATACAAAACAACAAGGGGAACTGAAAAGTCCATATATTGATGTAAAGGAAAATGTCTCAAGACCACAAAAGCAAGGGTGAACACAGAAATATCACATTTCTCATGTCACAATGGTACAACCAATGCCATAGTTAGTAAGGGGACAATAAGTTTTCACTTGAGTCTGTGGGAGCACATTCACCAGTCACAGGGAAACCGCAAAATGACCTGCCACTTACAGAAGACAATCCAAATTCAGGACCTACAGGGTCGTTCACACAGAACGCACTTTTAAAACACATGATGAATCACAGTGAAATGAAAAACAAAAAGCAAAACTGTTTTTAAAAGTTCAACTTCTTTTAACATCACACAATGTCTTAAATACACGGAGTTAGTTAGTCATACAATTTTTTTAAGACTGGTCATAACTTTTTTAAATCAGTTACATGAAAATGTATATTGGTCTAATTTGAATCCTAAAAGTATCCCTTGGCTAACTGCTAGTGAGAAGCTATTTCACTCACAGATACATAACAAGAGGGAAGAAAAATTATCACAATATCCATTTCACGCAGACTTTAAGACACAGTCTTAACATCATGGAAAATTGATGGCAAATTTGGCAAATCTGTAGAAGCAGCACAGTAGAAGGTTAAAAAAATAGGCTATTTATGTCATAAGTGTCTAGTAACCAGCAAAGCTGAAGGAGTATACAGTATGAATGATGTAAGCAGAGTTTTATATACATATGTTAATCATACTAGACAGCAAGTAGATGATGTAATACAAACGTAAAGTTTATCAATCAGCACTAAATATAATGCTAGACGTACACATACACTTAACCGACATGTTCACAACAATTTGTATTTGTGTGTTGGTCTTCTGCTTCTGCACTAGAAATGCAACAAAAAACATCCAAGTAAACCTTTCGTTCAGGACATCAGTATCAGCACGAGTTCGCAAAATGTTTTTCCCCCGTCATAAGTGTGAGCTTCTTTTTAAGACTCGATTTCAGATACAGAGGTACTGAAAACTGATCACTGAAAAAAACAGAAGTGTGGTTCATGTTTGACGTGATGTCACTGATTTTCATCATCACAATATTGTTCATTTCATAATCCAAAAGTTTGAGATTATTATCGCAATTGAAACATTTTTAATAATTTATGCACATGGAGTTGAACACCTTTAATTGTTTGCTGTTAATTTGTCTGATTTATAATTAAGCATGATTGTCAGTATAATGGATGCTTTAGCACTTGTGCAGGGATGTTATATTTGGTCCCTACATTTATCTTGGGCATTTATCTCGAGTGTTTGAAAGAATTTACACCAACTTCCAAAATTGCAGTGAAACTAATTACAATTCTTCTTCACTGGCGAGCATAATCATTACACTAAACAGCACGAGGCAAAGTCAAAGCATTTCAAAGAAATGGGAAATCAAAACTGTTGTGCTTGTGAAATTGAAACTGGGAACTGTGACCGTGCTGTAAATCCCTGATCTTCTGACGGCTATATAAGCACTGTAGCTGAACATCTCTGGTAATAACAGTCTTAGACAATCATCAACACTTTAAAAATAATGAAGACTGCCACAGTTTTTGTTTTTCTTGCCTGTCTGCTTGCAACAGAAGTACAAGGTGAGTGTTGCCTATTAAGACCTATAATTTAATATATATTATACTGTATCTCTTATACATATTAGTTTATTACCATGCTGTTCTGCAGCTAATAAAGGGTCATCTTTCTTCCAGGGCAGAACAAGTTTCACAAAGGCAGGTGCTTCTGTGCTGACAAAGGAGTGGATGTGGTTTTACTGAAGAACATTGAGAAGTTTGAAATCATCCCTCCAAGTCCGTCTTGTGGAAAACAGGAGATTATGTAAGGACAAAACAATGGTTTTATACAGATATTTACACATTAATGATCATGCTGCTATCTTAACACTCTTGAACACCTTCAGCTCATCTTTCCTTTTTTATTTCTAGTGTCACTCTTAAAAGCGCAGAGCGGAAATGCATGAATCCAGAATCTAAATTCACCCAGAATTTAATCAAGAGGGCTCTTGAAAAGATGTGAGTGTAACCATTTTTGCCGTCTGCTTGACCTATTGGCAATTTCTTAAATGAACAATTATATTTAAAAAAAAAAATTGAATATTTAAAAATAATATCTAATTAACTGATCTATTTCTGATCTTTACAGGGCCCACCAGTAGATGCACAGTATGATTCCGGATTAGCTGCTGTGTTATAATGCCACTGAAGAACATGCTGATACCCATAAAATCAGACGCTATATGACCTCTACTGTAGTTGACAGTTTGCATGCATTGCATGAGTTTGACTAGAAAGCATATGTATAAACTGTTGAGTAGTGTAAATATTTTCTGGTTAACTGTTGCAACTGACTGTGTAGTAATTATAAAAAAAAAAAAAAGTTTTTTTGTTTTCATTTTGTGTATATTCTTGTTTTATGTTCATAAAACTAATAAACAGTTGTTGCTGTTATACAATTCACTTATGATGTTTATTATTTATTTATTGTCCATCTGTGTCCACTATATAAAAAAACAAATCTTCCATAAATGAATGGTCTTTCTCAGGGGCAGCGTTTATGTATGGCAATGTATGGCAGTTGCCATACCCTAGCATTCAGATTTCAGACAAAACATCATGATGATGCTCGTTAAAGATAATCCAGATAGCAGAACAGACCTGAACATTGCTAGGTCGAGGTTCCTAATAGTGACAATTCATGCACTGTTGCCAACTCTCGCAAGACAAATAAGCAACCGCAGCTTCAAAAACGTGCCCAAAACAAGCCCAATATTATTTAATTATTTATTATCATCGATATTATTTATTATCAATTATTTATTACCAAAAAATGAGCCTGCAACATATTAAACTGGAACCACTCTTTTACTTGAAAAGCAAAAATAGAAGTTATTTTACAAAAATCAGCAAACGGCAATAAAGCGGGAGGTATGCACTATCCACTCATCTCCAATCATCTGTGAGCAGAATAGGATTGGAGAGATGGAAAAGGAGAAAAAGACAAGAGCTTTAAGGGGAAGCTGTAACACATCCACATATTTATAGCCTAACTTGTTTCAATTGTCGCGCGCCTTTTTGATTAGCTCCCACCTCACTGCTACCCACTTATGCAATAAAACAAAAGACATTTCTTTTTATATTTAATGCTGTTCACTGTGTATTTTATGTACTTAGGTAATGTGGGTTTATCATTCAGGAATGTTGTCATTGTGGCCACAGGGAATTCTGCCATACTCTATAGGTTTTTGTGAAACGCCGCCACTGGTCTCTGTTAATTCTTAGGGCAAAAACTGAATTACCCAGTTTTGTACATGCCAATACAGGGTAAGATAATTTAACATATTATAGCATAAAGGACAAGGATGCATCTTCAAGGGATGGAAACATTCTCTAATTTAGATTTTAAAGCAACTGATAATCAAAGGAGGCTATCTTGGCCCACTAGGTTAAGATGACCTTGTACTTGGAACAAGTAGCCTCTTGAGGTAAACTTATCCCAACTGTCAGATTTTTGGAGAACATGCACAAAATATGTATTTGTTTAAATAAATAAATAAATTAATGTATTCATTCATTTTTCATGTGTAAATATTTTTCAAAGGGATACATCTGGATTACATATGATTCCATGAATCATAAACAGGCCTATATTTTCAAATATACTGAAGTGATGTCATAATAGCTGTCAACTGAATTCAGAATGATTGATTCTAATGTATACATTAATAGAATTATTAAAATAAATAATAACTGAATGAATGGATTCATTCAGAATGAATAAATGAACTCTAACATTTAAGAATTAGAAAGAGCTTTATTGCCAAGTACACAAGGAATTTGTCTTGGTGACAGGAGCCTCCAGTTAAATTAAGGTAATAAGATGAAACATAACACTAATAATAAAGAGAGAAGATTATTCTAGAGCAGATTAGAAAAGATATAGAATAGAGAATAGACAATACATTTAAAATATAATACTACTGTAATAAAATGTACAGTTTTGAGATGTTATGTATTGTTCAGGTGGAATTGCTTGAGGGTAAAAGCTGTTTTTATGCCTGGCGGTTCTGCTCTGTAGTGCCTGCCAGATGTTCAAAGAGGAAGTGGGCTGAATGTGAGGGGTCCAAAGTGATTTTTCTATTTATTATATGACATAATAAAAAGAGCAGAAACAACTGGGGGCTTCTGTTCAAAACCTTACCCTGTCTACCTTATTACTAAAGACTGTCCAGCTGTCCCAGACAACGTAGATTAGCTTTAAAGCTTAAAATGTCACTGTTACAGCTATTTGAGAGTCCGAGTGTTTTCTGAAGAGTCAGTACTTACAATTCCAAAGTAAGAAGACAACGAATACGAGTGTTCATATATTGAGTTTGAGGAAAACTAACTCCACAACAAGACAAAATATGGATCGACCTCATCTTATTATTAAAAAATGGTTTAATAGACAGTGCATAAAGTTTATTATTTCATAACTCAGATAATGAAAAAGTCTATAATAAAAAAGTAACTTTGTATATTATATTGTGCATGCATAATCATTCTAATTTTTTTTCAATAATATGTAGCAGTTGAAGTGGCATTTCCAGATTTCTCAAAAAGTTTCAGTTTTCATTTTTTTTTCAGTTTTGCTTTCATTTTTTATAATTGTCATTAGCTGACTTCAACATAATGTCTGGTTAAGATCCTATATAAAGAAAAAGGCAGTGAAAACATTTGATGATATTCCAGTGAAAAGAGAAGTTTTCTCTAATGACCTGATTTGTGGTTTGTTTATGTCTTAATCTCTTTGGTTTTTCAACATCAGAACTCTAATTAGTCACTGAATTTCATCATTAGAAAATTTAAATATTTAATAAGCTGCAAACAAACATTACTTGCTTTACATTAAGTGTTGTACATGCCATAAAAATATATGGCATAACCCAGACATTTTTGTCTGGAAACTTTTCCTAAAGGTTTGTTTTTTTGCCAGCTTATCCTCAAATGATCTCAAATTAAAAAACAACCCAGGAATGCTTAGAGAATAACTCATTTATACTGGACAAATAACTCACACACATTTATGGCCAGTATTTAAGTCAGCATCTTTTTACATCAGATGTCACAAATGTTGTTTAGATAGGCTTGAAAATAAAGAGGCAGTGAAAACAACTGACCATCTTCCACAGAAAATACATGTTTTGTCCCACATCCTTGTTTGTGGTTTCTCAATGCCTTCACAAATAAATTCAACACCCACAAGCACACCAGCAAAACCAGAAGATCCCAGCCACACTTTGTGATGATGGAGATGGGTCATTATTATTTTTTTCATTTCACAGTCCAAAAATGACTGTATAGAACTTGCGTTGAATAGGTAAATGTAAATATTTGTAAATTTGATCAACTTGCTAAAAAACGTTTTGGCTAGTATATCACATGCTAAATGTAACTTAATTATCAAGTACATTTAATGAAGTAAAATACTTTTAATAATTTTCATTTTTTCATTGGTGGTTAGTGGCTTGGCTGAACTATAGTGTTAAAAACCTTTCGGTTACTACATTGAAAATGTACTTTAATGATGACCCACAGCTAATACTCTGCCGCTAAGCAAGGTTGGGTCTTGTTAGGACTTGAATGGGAGACCTCTTCAGGAAAACTACCCTGCAAGAAAAAAAAATCTGTAAAAAAAAAAAAAATGTGATAATGTCCTAGCAGATAGGGATGTTGGTGGTTGAAGAGAGAGGGTGATTAAGAATGATTATAAAACTTGATTTTCGAGTAAGTCGATACAGTACATACAGTTAGTAATCAGTCATAAATGAAACAAACTACAACTTCAAAGTGTAGCTATAAACTACTAAATCAGCAGGATTCAGCCAGACTGAATGCATAGAAATTGTTGGGTGCTACTTGGGTGTATCTGTGTGTTTTACCTGCACAGTCTTTTTTCTTTCAAATAATGGTTCATTAGCATTAAAATAATTGCAAAAGATTGTGTTAATAAGTAGGTTTAATGTGCATTTTCTATATTTCTGTGTATTGTTAATTTATTTATACACAAAATGTATACAACAGATTGTCATGTATTTAAAAACAGACAATAAAAGGCTTCAAATTCAATCAATTGAAATGTTTACAAAATATCTGAAATGCCCCAAGAGTTTTTCACTTTCATGTTTTAGCCTAACGTCTAGTAGTACTCCTACCAAATCATAATTCGCACAAATATTCCAGTCTAATTAAGCAATATTTCCTTCCTCATTCGTGGAAAGTTACACTCAAGGTGCTCTAAATCAAGGCTTCTCTCCATAAGGGTTAAGGACAGTGCTTCCGAGAAATCGCAATAAAAAGAGAAAAAAGAGAGGAAGACGGAGTATTGAAACCTAAAAATGGGAACTAAAACTAAGGGGAAAGCCCTGATCCTACAGTATTTAAATAAACTCCTGAAGTCCTTCAGTCATAATCTCACTGACCCAGACATAACACAACCACAGTTCATCGAGAATAAGAAGACAATGAAGACTATTGCAGCTTTTGTTCTTCTCGCCTGCCTGATCGCTGTAGGGGTAAAAGGTGAGTTTGAGCTCTGAGAATCGCAGATCAAGAGCCTCGGCATATCTTTAGAATGTACATTTGTTTATGGTAATGTTTTGCAGTTAATAGACTCTAATGAAATATATGACATTTCTCTTCCAGGACAGGACAGGTCTTCAAAGGGCAGGTGCTTCTGTGCAGACAAAGGTGCAAACATGGTTTTAGTGAGGAACATTGAGAAAGTTGAAATCATCCCTCCAAGTCCATCTTGTCGCAAACATGAGATTATGTAAGCATAGCCTACATTTGTATACATTGATTCATTTTCATTTTCAATTAATTCATCAACTGTAAAACAATCACGAGTAAGACTTGGCTTATTGCTTTTTTTCTTTCATAGTGTGACTCTGAAGAATGGTGCAGGACGGAAATGCATGAATCCAGAGTCAAAATTCACTCAAAATGTCATCATAAAGGCTATTGAAAAGAGGTGAGAATGTCTGCTTTAAGTATATTACTCATGCTTCACATTCATATTCAATGCAAAGACGTAGATTTGTGTGGCAGAGAGAGACATGTGGTAAAAAAAGAAATTAAGAATGAATTAATGGGAAAATAAACTAAATTTAAATGATTTCTGATCTTCACAGGAGCCAGCAGACTGTGCCACACAGTACAACTGTCTCTGTGCCCCTGAAGAACACCATGACATCATCATCAGCACCAACATCCTTCAAATGATTTCACTGACTTAAGATGTATTAATATTCTGCCTAATAAGTTGGAGTTCAATTTAGAAAAAAAACTAAATATTTC